AACAGGCAAATATATAATGAAATAAATGAAATATAGTGAAATAAAACAAAGCCTTAGAGAGCTCCACTCCTTCCCCACTTCCCATCCACCCGCATCCCCAGTGCTGCGCGCAGACCCCCGGTGTCCCTGGACGCCCCTGGGCTGCCGCCGCCGTCGCTGTCTCGGGTGCTGAAGGCGGCCCGGCCTCGCAAGAAAGGAAAGGAGGGAGGGCGGGGGCCGGGCTGAGCACCCCCCGACCGGACGGCTCGCCGCGTTTGTTGCAGGGGGGCTGTCCGGTGGACAAGACGCACAGGAACCAGTGCCGGGCCTGCCGGCTGAAGAAGTGCTTGGAAGTCAACATGAACAAAGACGGTATGCCCACCCCTCACAGACAAGGGGTGTGTAGTTCCCCCGTCCATTCTCAGTTCCTCAGTCTCCCTTCCCTTCCCTTCCCTTCCCTTCCCTTCCCTTCCCTTCCCTTCCCTTCCCTTCCCTTCCCTTCCCTTCCCTTCCCTTCCCTTCCCTTCCCTTCCCTTCCCTTCCCTTCCCTTCCCTTCCCTTCCCTTCCCTTCCCTTCCCTTCCCTTCCCTTCCCTTCCCTTCCCTTCCCTTCCCTTCCCTTCCCTTCCCTTCCCTTCCCTTCCCTTCCCTTCCCTTCCCTTCCCTTCCCTTCCCTTCCCTTCCCTTCCCTCAGCCATTTATCCTTCAGCCAATGAAAGTCATAACTTCTCCTCGGTGTCCCACAGCTGTGCAGCATGAACGAGGCCCACGCACATCCACAATACGGAAGCAGGTGGCCCTCTACTTCCGTGGACACAAGGAGGAGAGCAGTGGTGCCCCACACTTTCCTGCCACTGCCCTGCCAGCACCCGCTTTCTTCACTGCTGTCTCCCAGCTGGAGCCCCATGGCCTGGAACTGGCTGCCGTTGCTGGCACCCCTGAGAGGCAGGCCCTGGTGGGCCTGGCACAGCCCACCCCAAAGGTCAGCCCAAAGACCCTAATGGTACTGCAGAGCCTATTGCTGGGATGGGCCAACAGGGTGGTTTTGGCAAAGTGCAAGGTTCGGGGTGATACAGATTGTGGTGGAGTCTCCAATGGCACTTTCCCCATGTTCTGTGTAAAGGGTGAGGTTCATTTTGCAAGAAGTAGATGCAGAAAGATCAGCTGATAACTTGCCCTTCCTGTCCAGAATGTCTCCTCAGGTCAATTTTAAACTTTATGAGCTGCAGCGACTGAGTTTTCTTCAGCAAAACACCCATCTCCATGGTGGTCCAGAAAGTGCTCCCTGTGCTGACCAAAGCAAGCAGGTTGTCCACACCAATGTGGCTAAGTTAGCTCTGTGCCTCTTGGCTGTGACATTTCCTAAGCAGCCCATTGGAAGTACTGCCATGGCCTCAACTGCACAGACACTAGTCACTAGGCAAAGTTTTCTTTAATCTAATTGCAATGGCATTTTTCTTATTTACAGCACTTATAAAATCAGACAGGAAAGCAGTTAATAGTTCTACACTTCCAGAGTTGGTGGCCTGGCATCATGGACATGATCCTCACACAGAGTTTCGTATTATAATTTGGGGAAATGCTGAATCAGAAGTTTGTAAGAAAACACAGCACATGCTTGGAAACATCACCCAACTCCAGTCCTATAGGTAGATGTGGTTATTTCTACACATCTGTTTACAGCCTGTGGCACTTGGGGAGTTGGACAAAGGGTTAGGGGTAAACAAGTGCTCCCTGTTCTGCTGTGCAAGGCTGGATTGCCAGGGTAGCCTCCTAAGCACAGGTTACAAAATATAAATCTTTAATAAAACATGGTATCCTTCTGACTCTTCCACCACAGATGTGCCATCGTGTAACAGCATGAAGGATGACACCACATTTTAATAATGTTTTCCCTGATGTAATAATGTCATTCTCCCTTCAGCATCCTTCAATGAGCTGTTCCTGTAGTGCAGTCCACGCACACAGACAGCAGCAAAGAGTGGGGTGGAGTGGGCTCACTGAAGCAATGCCATCTGGTTGCAGAACAGGAGAGTGCACGCTGTGTGCTGGGCATCATGATTCACCGAGCAGCAGCTGTATGGGAGAGGAAGGGCAGGCTGCTGTGGAGACACTGTGTGAAGTCACTTTATTTTCTTTCTGACATTAGTACCCGCATGAAGTCAATGGTACCCCCATGTATCTCTACGAGGTGGCCACCGAATCTGTCTGTGAGTCAGCAGCCAGACTTCTGTTCATGAGCATCAAGTGGGCCAAGAGTGTCCCAGCCTTCTCCACCCTGTCCTTACAAGACCAGGTAAGGCTCCTGTAGAGGGAGTGAATCAGTCTGGCCTGCCTGATGAAGGAGCTCAGACTGGAACCTTCACACATAATGCTTTTTATCTATCATGGACCTAAAAAGCTCTAAAGCTTAGGGCAGAGTTCCACTTTGTAGCTAAAAAAAAACCAAAAAAAACCCAAAACCAAACCAAAACAAAAAAAAACCCAACAAGGCAGTTATGTAGAAATTGCCTATGTCTTGATTTTTTCTTCTAAAAAATAGGAATAGCATCTTATCTTGCTATTTCACAATAGGGTGTACTTAGTTAAACATACAGACCAGGAGGATATGAGGGATTTCTGAAGATCATTCCTCCTCTCCTCTCCTCTCCTCTCCTCTCCTCTCCTCTCCTCTCCTCTCCTCTCCTCTCCTCTCCTCTCCTCTCCTCTCCTCTCCTCTCCTCTCCTCTCCTCTCCTCTCCTCTCCTCTCCTCTCCTCTCCTCTCCTCTCCTCTCCTCTCCTCTCCTCTCCTCTCCTCTCCTCTCCTCTCCTCTCCCCTCCTCTCCCCTCCTCTCCCCTCCTCTCCCCTCCCCTACGCTTGTTTACACAGACAACATTTTTTTCTTGTTTCAGTTGTTTTCTGCAAACTTACAATACAATTAGTCCAATATAGTGGCATGAGAATTTGGCCAGCCCCCAATATTTTTTCACCATTAATTAAAATCTTCCCTAATCTGTCTTGTTTTCCTCTATGACAATTTGTCTTTGCTTCAAGTAAATCACATGTGAACCATACAGGATGAAGCAATTTCTTAATGACTTGATTCGTGATGAGGATGCTGTGTGCTTTGTATAACGCATTAATTCTAAAAAAGTAATCAGATAATTATAAAAAGGAAGGGGAGAATTCTACGCAAAACTCCAATCATAAAAGACGTTTAATAGTTTGATATGATTGAGCTAATTTCACAAACTTGTTGCTAGAAATGCCATGCCTCAGATGTTGCATGTACCAGACACAGAGGAACATGCATCAGAGGAACTAGTTGCTCTCCATGGATTCACGTTGCAAGATTTGCAGTACATGTGCAAGTATAGATTTTGAACTGAGCTTCTTAGGGAACACAGTTTTATGCTGAAGGTAGTGTGTCATAAAGCTAAGGTCTATTGAAAAGTCTTTTTTATAGCACCAGATCTTGAAACCTCTGTCTTCATAGCAGACTAACAAGCAGCTGCGATGCTGTCAGCCTTAAGCAACCACCCTCAGGAAGGCAGTAGTCTCACTGCAGTATGCTGGTTTCTACTATTGTCTTCTGCTGCTGTTATTCCTGCGCAGCATTGGATCTCAAGGAGCAGGCCCCACTACCAAGGAGGTGCAGTAAGCATGCTGCATCAGTACAACTGCAGGGTGCAGGAAGGTGCTGGGCCCATCTCTGGACCAGCAATGTCTGCAGCAACCAACAACATTCATGGGAAGCTCCTTAAGTGAAGGCTTCATTTGACATCATACGGATGCATTTTCCAGCAGGCCATCTCTGTGAGTGAGGTTGAAGGGATGCCTCCGTTGCTGAGACCAGGCACGCCTCAACCAGCAAGGCCTGCTTTTCTGCCACCTGCCATCATTAACAACCCACTGTCTGCTTCACCTTCAAGGCTAAAATGAGTGAACTACATATAAAAATCCCAGCCATTCTAGATCCTTATTCCCACTTGCTGTACCTCATTGCAAAATGTCTTCCTCAAAACTTAGAGCTGCTTGGGCCTTTTGCCACATGGGTCTCCTGTTGTGTTCAGAAAAGCTGGAGAAGAAATAACCCTGATTTTAATCACCTTATTTCACAAATAATCAGACCATTGATTTTTATAATAGTGCCGTTGCAGTATTTAATTGACAACGGCCCATCTATAAATGTCTGAATTTCTCTTTTTGTGTCCCTGACATCTGCTCGAGTAGAATCAGAAACCTTTTCCTGGATTTGCTCTTGCTTCTTGCTTTTCTGGAATGGGAACTACACTGTGACTCTGGGACTCCGGAACAGCCTGATCTTGAAAGGAAGGAAACAAGCAGAAGCTGATTTGCTGTACAGACACAGGTCTGTGTCTGGACTCCTCTGACTGAAGCAGAGGCTGCTCCTCTCCCACCTTTTCAGAGCCTATCACCCTGTTGTAGTGGAGCCACACAACCAAAACGCCAGCTCTGAGCTTGCTGGCTTGCACGCCTGCCCAGCTGCTCCACGAGACAGATTGGCCCAATGCAATAGAAAGCAAGAAAAGACCGTGCTAGCAAGATGAGATGGATTAAGCAGCAAAAACCAGTCCTTTAGAAAGCCTGGCATTTTTTGTTTCTTTGAAGGGCTGAGTATGACTTCAGCATGAATTACTTTAATTGATGGTTTTACAGACTTATGCATAGGCATGAAGAAAGCCTCAGCCATCGGAATAGTCTCTTATTTCTAAAGTCCTCTGACTTCAGATGCTCAGTGGGAAAGAACATATGAAATTGATATCTTCCAGGAACCACCATTCACTACCATTGTATCTGCATGAATGAATGACAAAAAACGTATTACAAAAACAAATGAAAGGCTGGCAAATCATTTCCTATGTCATACAGAAACCTGTATACCCATCAGGATTACCTGGAGGAGGGGCTGGGGCAGGCAGACTGCAGCATTTCCAAGGCTCAAGGGCAGGTTTTCTTGCTCTGGCTGGAGCTGAGATTGGTGCTGTGCCTAGACTTCCCCCGCATAAAATGATCTGGGCAGCTTCTAGCATTGTCAATGAAATTATTTCAAACAAATTATATGTAACCAGAGACAACATGCTTTTCAGTCACAATTTCCTTAACCAAGTTATGTAGAAGTTCTACAAAGTACATAGCACACCGAAGTCTTAAAACTATAGCAACACGCTTATGAGAGCTCTTCTCATTCTGTTCTGAGCAGGGTGGTTTAAAACTCTCAGTGCTGTTAGGGCACTTAGATAAGGGATTCATTTTTAGTGCATGTTTTCTGTATCATCTATTACTTTCATATATCTAATTCCAAGGAAAACATTCATTCGGTATGAGGTATTTCTTTCTCAGAATTTTCTAGACTTCATATGCCTTCTTTTCTATCTCCCTGCTGCTATTTTCAGGGACCACAGCAATATTATTGTGGTTTGCTCTTTTTTGCCGTGCATTCTGCACAATCTGTTTGCACTGAATGAAGCCATGAGATGACCCCTTCTGAGCCCACTACAGTCTCACCTCTCCACATCTCTCCCAGCATACAGAGAGACAGGAAGTCCCCCAGCACGTCCCTTAGGCTGGGTCAGGGAGCTAACAAATGTCAGTTGAACTGGGACCCTCCAAACCCCTCCTAAGATTTGGTCTGGGCCAATAACCCTTAGATGCTCTCAGTACTGGCTTTGCCATATGCATTATCAGGGGTCACATCTCCTCATATGCACCAGTGCCTCTCCACGGAAATAGATGGCATTGCCTCCAGAGAAGAACACATCATTCGTAAAGCCAGACAATGTACAAAAATTGCAGGGAAGTAGCAATGCTGACAGCATAGCTGCTCGAACGCTGAGTTCAGAGCCCACTGCCCTGCTGATGGCTGTTAGGAAGAGCTGAAAATCCCCAGAGAACAGGAGGAAAGCACTCTTCCAATCTGTACTAGGACAGTTCTACGTGCCCACGGAGAGCAGGAGAAAGCCCACGCTGCCAGGAGTTGTGCTGAAAAACATAGGCAAGCGCTCAGGTCAAGTGCAAGCTCTCAGGGGCAGGACTTCTCACTCTCCTTTCTCTTCCCTTTTGGTCTACAACACAGTGCATAGTGAGCCAACACCAAGTGATTTTCTACAACGCATAGTCTCATTTCCAGACACCTTCTCTAAAAGCTAAGAGAAGAACTAACAGATTCGGTGGGGAAAATACCATGACAAGCATTTAAAGCAGTTTTTAAAATAACAGAAATTTACATATTTAAATTGTTTGTAAATCTATAAATTATACACTATGTTATATTGTACATCTATTGTATGACAGCTGATGCTTTTGGAAGATGCTTGGAGAGAACTGTTTGTTCTAGGAATAGCACAATGGGCCATTCCAGTTGATGCTAACACTCTACTGGCTGTATCTGGTAAGAATTGCACAATTTAATGACTTTGTTACAAAAATTACCATAAAAATACATTACTGAAAAAAGAACAACATGTAAAGAATAACAAATCCCTACTGAACAATAGAGCATACCTGTCATTTATAAATCTATATTTAAATGCAAATAATGTTGTTTTGTTGTATTCATGACTGCTTGCATTGTCATTTAAATGCAAATTACTGTGTTTGTTATCATCCAAGAGAAGATTTTATATTAACTTTCATACAATATAGTCAGTTTACCAGATAGACAAGTGTGACAATAGAATGGATATCGATACGCAGGATTTTGTCAGAAATCAGTATAAAATAAAACAAATGCATTTAATATTATTTATTTCATCTGCTTCTGTTTCAGGCATGAACGGTGACAATACAGATTCTCAGAAGCTGAATAAAATTATTTCAGAAATACAGGCTTTACAGGAGGTTGTGGCTAGATTTAGACAACTCCGTTTAGACGCTACTGAATTTGCCTGTCTCAAATGCATCGTCACTTTCAAAGCTGGTAAGCAGAAGTCACCTCACACCTGTCTGGCCCGACAGCTTCGAAGTTGCCACGTAAAAGTGAAAATGATGTTTTAAACCACATGTAGCACCGCACCACCCCATTGCTTCCTGGTGTGGAATTCCAATAGTCAGCGCTGTGCTTTGAAAGGCTGGCAGTGGAGCACTGGGGAACTAGTGAGACTGCTTAATGTACACGGGTAGTGCCAGCTGGTCTGTCTTGACCCCACTGAGCTGTAACCATCTGCTTTCCAGTGCCGACACACAGCGGGTCCGAGCTGAGGAGCTTCCGGAATGCCGCTGCCATCGCCGCCCTCCAGGACGAGGCCCAGCTCACCCTGAACAGCTACATCCATACCAGGTCAGCTCCGTCCAATCCCTCCCGCAGCGGCAGGGGTGACATCCCGCTCCCGCTGTGGCAGAGAGGACACAACCACCCACTGTTTTTACAGCAGCGGCCTCCCGGAATTAGGCATTTCCCAAGGAAATGAGAAAGGTGTTTATTCAGACAAATGGAAGATGGGAAAAGGAGAGATTTTCCTCTGACAAGTGATAGTGCTGTGGGGCATTTTGCATTCTCAAAGGCTAGATTTCCTCCACCTTCTATTCTGCTAAGTAATGCTAACAGTGACGCTTAACATCATGTGCCTTATGGCAGAGTAAGTGTTTTCACCCAGGATCTCCAGTACACTTCCCCATGTCATTTCCCCCATTTTGCAGAGAGAAATTAAGAAACAAAGAAGCTAAGCGACTCTTCCCAGATAAAATGAAAAAAATAAATTTGTGAAACTCATCTTGGTGTAAGAGCAGAGTGATGAGAATCAGTTTCAGAAGAAAAAAATCACCTGTCTCACCTAGTGTAGGTTTCCTAGGGCACAGCAATCTTAAAACCTGCTCTACAAGCTGTAGCTGGCATCCCACAAATTGCACAGGGCTAAACCCAGGAATGGGTTATATATGTTATACAAAATGCAAATCCCCACTCTAACACGTGGCTGAAGGGACGAGCAGAATGAGCAGCCTCCTGCCATGGAACTGTACATAGAGGAGGGGCAGGGAGAACCAAAAGAGTATACCCTCTGCATCAACTTTCCCTGCTGGATCAGGATGCCCGGGGAGAGCTGCAGCAGGTCCTGTGAAGTCCACATCATAGCCCATGCAGTAGAGACCCATGAGATCAGCACAGTGGGAGACGAAGTGGTGGAAGAGGCGCTTTTATGCTGTTTTTGTTTCTGAAACTTTTATCTGCTCTAACAGCAGTTCTGCCTAGCAGAAGTCAACTCCATGTTAGAGAATAGTTGGCAGCAGTCTTTGAAGCACTTGTGTTTAGCCCAAAGGCAATGTCCCGCCCTGCAGATGGGAGCAAAAACACAAATTCTGTCCAGTTCTGGCTAGTTCAGAGCAAAAAGAATCACCACTGCACAGCAACCTGTTCCTGTTCTCACAGGAGGCCTTTCCCACGGAGAGTGCTCCCTGGAGACTCTGAGTGAGCCAGGGCTTGTTGGAGAGAAAAGCCAGGGAAACATATTGTCACACTGCCATGTTTTCCATTCCAGTCATGGTGACATCTCCATTACATTTTTGCACTATAGGAAATATTAAGCTAAAGAGAATCTTTTATAAAAGATTACTTTTTTCAAAGAAACTGCAGCAAATAATGCAGTGAAAGGCTGCTTGTATTCTGAGTAATGCCTACTTGCTCAACAACCTCATCTTCCCAGGTCAGGAAATCAAGGCTTCTGCAGCTTTTCTAGAAAAGGAGAAATCCTGGCTCTGCTATCAGAACCGTCACACTGACTCCAATGGCTTTCACCTCCTGCTTCACCCTCAGTCTTGAGCGTACCTTCCTGTCAGTGTTAGAGTACTGCTGCCCTTCGATTGCAGCGGGGGAGCTGCACTCAGCAGGGTGCAAAGGAGGGTGGCCTGGAGAAATGTTTCTTCATGGATCTGCTTATAGGAAAACCACTGCTACACAGAGACTTGAGAATTACACTAGTGTGAAGTCAGCGTAAGCACAAGTAGAATACGTATCTTGGGTTATATTAGCTTCAAAAGCAGTGAGAAAGAATGGGAAATATCCTATTATGCAAATACATTACCTGGGGACAAAACACAGGTTCTTTAATCAAAAAAATTCTTTCAAAATGTCAATTGTTATTAAACGTGTAAGGCAATCAGGAGGCAAAATGATTACCATGACAATCCAGCTAAGTTTAAATTGCACTTTAAATGACAGGGTATTTATTATAGGTCAAGCTCATCCCTGAACTGCATCAAGAACATAGCTGTTGTCGGAGGGACTAGCCAGAGCAGATCCTATATCTATATTGCTACTACTCTGAGGGAATAAACAAGGGAGCTAATCAAAACTCAGGGACCTTGCTCTATATTCGGCTAACCTCCATTAAGAGAGTTTTCCCTGGGGTCAGCCTTCTTGTTCAAGTGAGTACAAAGCAGGGGTTTAGCCCAGGTAGCACCCATCTGTACAGTTCACTGAATATTGGTCTCCTCTATAACATTAAAGATTTTCTTTGGAGAAACATCAAAAAACTTCACTAACATTTGTTTTCCTCTCTCCTCTCCAGGTACCCTACACAACCCTGTCGTTTCGGAAAACTTTTATTGCTTCTACCAGCTTTACGTTCTATTAGTCCATCTACAATAGAAGAAGTGTTTTTCAAAAAGACCATTGGGAATGTACCAATCACAAGACTGCTTTCAGATATGTACAAATCCAGTGACATATAAATTTCCTTAAAACAAACGATCAGGACGGACAGTTTGAGAAGAACTTTTATCTATGGAGAATAAGCCTCAACTAACAAAATCTACAGGAAGCATAAGCCTGGGAATGTTTAGCCTTTAAACCCATTGACAAAAAAATACCCCAGTAGATATGATTCTGCTGCTCTGAACAGAGCGATTTAGATCATGGAGAGAATGCTTTGTTCTACAGAAAAAGTGGAAGTGGTTGGAATTTGGCTGCTTTTCCTGTTACTACAGGATGGAGGCAATTCAGATGCCAGTCATAGTTAACAAAGACTGTGCTATTCTCTCATTTAACTGGCAGATCTGAGACGAAATGTGAAAGAAGGTACTTTAGTTTTGTTCAGTATTTGGAACTGGGTGACCAAACTTGGCTTCTGTTGTAATGCGAGATGTGGTGGCCTTCAGAACTGTTCTAAAAGTAGCCTATGTTGGTAAAATGTTTTAATACGATAGGCAACATTGAAGACCAGGTTACCAAAACATTGCTTCTGCAGTAATACATCATAAAGTGGCCTTCAGAACTGATTAAAAAGTAGCTTATGACAGCAGTTCCATTCTTCCTGCAAAATAAAACTGGTGATCTGTGATGCACATGTCACCAGAATTAACATCTCATGACAGAAGAGCTTTATACAACTCCCCAATCCTTCTCTCCTTCTTACACACACGCACCCATCCACACAGCCTCTGGCAAAGAGTACAAGTCAAGGAAGGAAGACAAAAACAGCAAAACCAAATCCAATGGAGATGATTGCTTCAGTGACCTGCTGGCTGTCCCGTTGGCACACTGCTGAAACCAAAGGCAACGGCAGCCAAACTCTTTGTCAGTGAGATGTGCAGAGAAGTAAAAATGACTGTAAAGACACCAACGGAAATACTTTTATTTCAAGGAAATAAAGTTGGTTGACTGAAACGATGCTAACAACTTTCAAAAGTCTCCAATGCCTTTTTAGAAAATTCCAGGTTCTAATTTTGAAGCCTTGTTCACCTACACCCTCTTACACACAAAAATGTTATAAGCTGCTTATTTGATGTATGAAACACGTAGAAAAAAATTAAAGATAGCTGCTGTACTTTTCAAAATTTGATTTGTTATTAGAAACTAGCACTGAGAAAAATCAGCACTTGGACTATCATAGAATGAGTAAAACTTTTCTGTACAAAGTGGATTAACTGATTTGTGAAGTTAAAAAGTTGTACTCATTGTATTTACAAAGAATAAAAATATATTGAATTTACCTTTCACTGTCCTTTTAACACTTCTCCTCTTGTTTCTGGATTAGCATCTTCCACTGTACCCTACTTACCAGGGAACAGAAACGATCTCTACTAAAGTGTATTGCCTTAGGTACTGTGGGGGGTCTCCATCATCAGAGGTTTTAAAGAACAGGCAAGACAAACATTAAGGGAATAACTCAGCTACAGGTGACGCTACCTTCACGCAAAGGGACTTCGAAGTCTTGCACAGAGCTGTTTTCTGTAGTCCATATATATATATACTCATTGCAAGGTTTCTAACATTTTCTTCTCAAGGATCTGACGTACAGCTTTTTCTGGGACATACTTCTAAACAGATTAGACGTCTAACTTGTGTAAGTTTTCCATTTCATGTTATTTCAGTTTTTAGTATTTGTGAGTTGTGCAGCTCACAACGACTGATGAGTACAAAAACACTGCTTCAACTAAAAAGATTCGGGAGTTTTATTACGGTGTCCAGTTGTGTTATCAAACCAAAGAAAAGGGTAAGAAACTTCAGTGCACAGGATGAAACTGGCAACAGAAGGAAAATAAAACACACTGTTTATAAGGCAGTGAGTAACCGAAGACTGCGCACATTAAAATGGCAACTGGAAACATACAGTGTATATCGACAGCTCATTCTTTGTTGGTGTCAAGAAACACAGACCAAGACTGAAATCCCAACTCCATGGGATACAGAAGTCAAAGCTTTTCCACCCCATCTCTGTTAAGTCTGAGAGGTCTCACATTCCATTCTTTCCAAGACAGCAGGACCATTACATGTACAAGACTAGTTTTCCAATGACTCAGGTAAGACAAACTATGGACTACAGGACTTTGGAACACCCTCTGTATGAACCAGCACGGAGCATTTGAGAATGCATTTTTACTATAGGATGAGGTGAATTTATCTCTTAAAAAAAACCCCAGTGAACACTTAAGAGTTCTTTCTGCACTTACAACAGATTTTACTATTTCTTGCTTTACACTAAAATAAACTGACGATTGCAGACAATTAGTTATTTCCCACCCTTGTGACAATACAGTTTATGAGTTGAAAAGGCTGAGGGCACTGCTGTTCAGAACCAGTGACAAAATATTCATTTCAACAAGTCTCATGCTGTGCAGCAACAAACATGAACTGCACCTAAGATATGAGGTAGCTGCACACTGCAGTCTGCTATCCAGTCCCAGTCCCTAGATGACTAATCTCAGTGTTTCTCCACAGACTGCACAGCAGCAGAATCACTTACGCTACACCAGAACTAGCTAGCTTCAAAGCACTGACACTCAGGAGAAATCCTAGAAGCCAGTGCAGATGCCCACTGTATCCAAGATCCTGTCAATTTCAGAGGTTGTAACAACTCCAAAATCCTTGCAACACTTCAGAAATACAAGAAGAATCTACTGTCATCAAGTATGCAGCTCTTCCCTCTTCAGCTGTGATTTTTTTTTGCCTGCACCAGATGATGAAGATCGTAACATCTTTACAAGATTTTACAAGATTACAAGATCGTAACATTTCTTTACAAGGAGAGTGGTTAGGCCCTGGAACGGGCTGCCCAGGGAGGTTGTGGATGCCCCGTCCTTGGACGTGTTCAAGGCCAGGTTGGACGGGGTCCTGGGCAACCTGATCTGAATGTGTACGTTCGGTGGCCCTGCTAGGCAGGGGGGTTGGAACTACATGATCCTTGAGGTCCCTTCCAACCCGGGTGATTCTGTGATTCTGTAACATCGTCTTTTAGGGATATGACAGATCTACTTCGATTTCAGAAAAAAGCTTCTCACAGAAAAAAACGTTTGAGAAAAGAAAAAGAACACCTGACTATGTATCTAAATAATAAAACTTCATATACATTTAATCTTTCATTCCCCATTTTCAAGAGTAACTCAGCCTAAGTGTAATTCAACAGCAGCAGGGAATTTTATAATAGATCGCTTTGCCTTAACTAGAACTACTTGAAAAGCTAGACTAAAAAGTTTGACATTCAAATAACTGATTTTTGCCCCCTTCATACATACCAAAGACTATGCTGATTCTATCCCAAAGTCCTACCCATGGAATCAAGCATCAAAACTTACACAACCCACTTGCAACCTAGAGCTGTACCACTAGCAACTAGTATGTTTCCCTCCATTCCAGAATCCAAAAATAAAGACTGCACTTGGTTGCAAGCAACCAGATAATTTTTGTTGATACAGTCAGAAATGAATTCTTCTTTTATTGCAGCCACAAAATAGAATGCTTAAAGACAAGTGTTCACTGATACTACACATAACCCAGTCAGCCCGCCGATATTTTGTCAGCTCAAGCTTTCACATCCAGAATTCGATACAAATGACAGAGTAGAAGTTTAAAATGAGATTAACAGTCTTATTTAAAGAAAATTAGTAACTTTGCATGTTTGTAGCATGTTCTTTACATTGTGGCAGAACAGAGTACATTTTTATATAGGAAGGAAAAAGCAGCAAAACCAACTCTAAGCCAACATGCACTCAAATTGTTTAGAACATGCACTGTTAAGAACACAAAACATTGGATCAGATTGCTAGTGTTCTTGAACCGGTTTTCAAGAGCATCTGGATAGGTAACTTCCACATCATATTTCAGAATACTAAGAAGGCTTTTGTAGCCATAAAAGCATTTAGGGAGAAAGATTGTTTCAGTGCTGTTACTTGCAAACTCAAGTTTAGGCATTCATAATCTGCATTTCACCATTGGTCATAAAAGCACAATGTTACAGCCTTTCCTTCTCTTAACATTCAGGGAAGCGAGCACACTGCACAGCATGCTTACATGACTCTATATTCCACATGGCAGTTGCAGATCAGAACCACCTTAATCTTCAGCTATAAGACCTAAAAGCCCTATGACAGGTTATGTCAACATTTCTTTCTCTGCAGAATGGTATAATTTTCATGTAATAGCTGAATCTAAATTGAGGCTTCTCATACCAAATGAAGATGTAGCCTTCTTCGAAGTTTAATGAAGCCATGTATCTGTTGACTACCGTGAACAGGCTGAACAATGCTGGAACAACCTTTAATACTTTCCACATTTCATAATGTGACAAAAAGGAAAACACCATTCCCATTTATAAGAGAGGGAAGATCTGGGGAACTACAGGCCAGTAAGCATCACCTTTGTGCCTGGGACGATCATGGAACAGATCCTCTTGGAAGACACGCTAAGGCACACATAGGATAAACAGGTTATCTGAGACAGCCAGCACAGCTTCAACAAGGGAGGGTCATTCCTGACTAACCTAGTAGCTTTCTATATGTGATGGCATCAGTGGACAAAGGGAAGGCAACTGATGTCATCTACCTGGACTTCAAAGCCTTTGACGTGGTTCCTCACTAACATCCTCATCTCTAAAATTGAGAGATACAGATTTTAAGGGTGGACTATTTGATGGATAAGGAATTGGTTGGAAGTCATAGACAGAAGATTATGGTCAACAGCTCTATGGCCAGGTGAAGGCTGGTGACAAGTGATTTCCTCCAGTGGTCTGTCTTGGAACTGGTGCTCTTCAGCACCTTTATGAATGACAGTTTTTCACTGAGAGGGTGGTGAGATGCTGGAACAGGTTGCCCAGACAGGTTGTGGATGCCCCATCTCTGATGACCCTCAAGGTCCCTTCCAACCCAAGCCATTCTATGATAACACTGGATTGGTGAATGCCCATATCCCAGGGCATTACAGGGTTAGCTGTTAGGGGCAAAGCACTACCTTGCAGAAGAATATTACAGCAAGGCTGAAACATCAGTTCACTCAGAATAGCAAAGTCTTTGCTTCTCAGAAATGATGAGATAGTCCACACTCAAGGTCAAGAGTGACAAACACCTGAAGTGCATTTTCACTTTTATTTCAAAACTTTTAGACAAGTTATTTTAGTATATAAATTTGATTTTTCCTCTTACAGAATATAAAGATAATTCCCTCATTATTTCAGTATAAAGTGTTTTACAAGCTTGAAGACAATTGCATAAGTGATCTCACATAGGGTTATCAGAAAGAAAGCAGTCTCTTAAAGAAGTTCAGACAAATGACTACCTCAGAAAGCATAGCAGTTTAGTCAAATACAAGTGAACATGTGACACTACAACTGTGCAAGTTCAAGTAAGGCCAAGTCAGTAAACATTGTTAAGTCATTGCAAGTGAGTGGAAAGGTTTGTGAGACATTGCAAGGGGTGGATGGTCTCATAATATAGTACTCTTGAATCAGAGGGATTAAGATAAAAGACAAGTGAGTTTTTTAATGCTATAAAGTATATGCAAAGACCAAGCAGTGTACTGATGTTAGTGGAGACTTTGTGCCTGTTTATCCTCAGCATGCTAAGACAAACTACAACCTCTTAAAAATCAAGCATAAGAACCACTAATGTTTGGAAAGGATTTCAGAATTCAAGTATGTCTTATTTTGGATGGTGTGTAGTTTTTGTCTATTACTTCATCTTGTAAGAACATATGAAGACAGCGTTCATTCTGTGCCAGTGGGTGGCCTGCAACCCTGGGGAAGGAAAAAGAAAGAAACGTTAGTACTCACAAACTGAGCCTACTTGCAGCTTGCCAGTAGCAAGGGTTTTTACACCAACAACCTATGGGCTTGCTCTTCAGCACAGATCCACTTCCAGCTACTGTTGGTGTCTACAAAGATGTCTGGCAAGACTTGCCATTCTCCCCTGCATTAAATTAGCCCATAGGAACTCTGAGTTATCTCAGATCAGTAGGAAGCATATTATGTCATCCATAACCCGCAGCTGAGAGGGTGCTTTGATTGTACCCATTCTGTGAAAAAGTCAAGCCAAGTTAAGCTGATTTTATTGGTCCTGATGCCTTTGACACAGAGTAAGTCTCTAAAAACAGCTTAACACATCAGTTCTTAGTCTGATTTCATTTAGTTAGACCAGACAGAGTAATAGTTAGTCCACCAGGGGGTGTGAAGGTCTTCTGCAGGCCCTGACACAATTTAAAGCAGAACATTACCACAGTCGTATTTTCAGTATGCACAAGCAGCACTGATGCTTAACCAAAGGGTACTAGATATGGCCACTCTGTTAACTGAAGATGTCTTTAGATATGAAACACAGCAAAGAAAGTGAGTTTGTCTGTTCTAGAAGAGAATAACATCTCTGTCATAGATTTTTGTTTCAGGTATGAACTAAACTGAGCCACTTTTTATTAGTAAAGAAGCTGAAACTGAATTATCTGTTAGAACATGTCTGCTCTAAATGGAAGATTATTCACAAAACTAAAGCACAGCCTCAGAGGCTCAGCATCAGTACTTTAGAGAATTTACATGCACCTTCTCCACTTGTATCTAGTAGTGTTTATTCCTCCACAGGACTGATTAATTTGTCACAACTGGCTACTGAGGGTACCCCTTAACAAGCAAAGCTCTGCTACCCAGCACCGATAGATTGCATTGAGAACAGTCAAAGCCTATCAACATTAACAATTGCAAATAAATAGGCAGCAGTCTGAAGCAAAACACAGAACAGCCTGGAGTAGCTAGTTTGGGTTTCTTACTCATATCTGACTAAGTCGTTTGCCTTTAAGTTCAAAGAAAAACTCAGGAAAAGAAAAAGACTACATTCTTTCACCTTCATCTAAAGGGTACAAATTGGTGGTTGAACTGGTAGACTAGGTCTGATCTCACATCCAGCTCTTGGTTTCACACAAATACCTCATTTTGTACTTCTTTCCTCCCCCCCCACCTCAGTATTCTTCACTAAGGTGACACACTTGCAAAGTTCTCATGCCTCCTTAAGCTAGGTTCCAGCAGAAAAGGCTTCTGCAGCATACCTACACCTGCATCTGGCACTGTGAGTAGTATTGATGGCTTTGCAAGCAAGCTGGCCCACTAGGCTAGCTCAAAAAGGCTCAGTGTTGTCTAAAACTTCTCAACAACAGTCATCCAAACATTCCTGAGTATCAAGAACTGGCGCTGGTGCACTATGACCTTCCCTGGATGTAGCAATACCAGTTATCCTAGGCACTGAATAAGATGACGCTTTGAGAATGCAGTATTGTAACTACATTATGCGAGATCCACTCTAGGCTAAGTTCACCAGCACAGAATACTTCGTAGAATCTTAAAAGCTGCTACATGATTTAAAACCTTAATTGGCATAGGCAACTCAAGCAAATACAGCCATTAAAATAGATTGATGAGCTTGAATAGCCAAGTTCTGCCTGATGAGTCTTTTTCCAGATGTACTCAAGTCTGCCACTACATCAATAACTACACTAACAGCCTGCTTCTATCTTTCAAGGAAAAGAAAATTGACCAAGAAGTTTCATACTGCCACAAGATCAGTGCATCACTGGCTGTAAGACTCAAAGTGTTATCAGCAAATTGATCACTTCATTTCTATCAGCTATACTGAAATGTTCTTCTTTGAGATGTTCTTCAGCTATTTGAGTTAAGCTGTTTCTCTATCAGTTGCTTTAGAATGTCAGCCACCTTCTTTCTGTGCATGTCAATAAACTCAGTGCTAGTATGTACAGTTCCTCCAAACTGGACAGTCCCAAGCCTGCTTGAATGACAGTTCTAACTCCACAGTAATCATACAGCCTTACAAAGCACATTTTATCTTAGCACAAGCACACCTTGTGCCTTCAAGTACCATAAAAGCAAAACTGAATGTGCAAGAAATTCATCCTACTTGTCTTCAAACAGGGAAGTAACAGTTGAAAGCATTTTATTTGCTCAGAAATATTAGAAATACCCCCAAACTGAACTAGCAAGCAACTATGTGAAGACTTGTGCAAGTTCTAGTTTCCAGTAAACTAGTCATTCACTTGTGACTCCCCAAGCCACAGGCCTGAACTGATCAATAAAAACTGACTATAATCAGCTATATACGAGCAGATTAAGATCTTGTTAACTGAAGGGTATCTCCCATTCCCATTAAACAGCATTATTATTGAACAAGATTAAAATATTAGTGGAACTGACAAGCTCAAACCTTCTATGATGAAGAAACCCAGAACCAGATGATATGAACAATATAGGCTTTAGAGATCTGACAAACTAGGAAATGACAGTATTCCATCTATCCAGCTACAGCACCTCTTCTATGAAGGCAGAGGGAGCTGGCATTGTTCAGTTTGAAGAAAAGAAAGCTCTGAAGAAATGTCATTGTGGCCTTCTAGTATTTAAACATAATTTATTTAAAAAAAAAAAAAAAAAAAAAAAAAACAACAAAAACAACCAATAAGCTTTTACATATTGTAATAGTACAAAAGGTAATGATTGTAAACTAAAAGAGAGGTGTTAGGTAGAAATTCTTAACTCAGAGACTGGGGAAGAGCTACATTGCCCAGAGAAGCTGCAGATGCCCTATCTCTGAAGGCATACAAAACCAGGTTGATGGAGGCCCTAGGCAGTCCAATCCCATGGGATATATACCTGCCTACAGTAAGGAGGTTGGAACAAGATGGTCTTCAAGGTTTCTTCCAACCCAAACCACCATAGGTGATTTGCACCTACAGCATAAGAGGTTAAAGTAGCTCCTAAAATCACTATATATTGAGTAGTTAATAGTGCCAGGTGGTAGAGCAAGAAATAGGTGTCTTTATTACCGATATATATATATTTACCCTTAGAAAGCCAGTGACAAAGTTTAAAGTGTCTGTTTCAAACTATACATATACATACCTCAAGCACCTTTTTTTTTTTTTTCCCATTTTCAGAAAGATTCTTATAACATTACAAAAAATATGCATAGTTATATGAGCTGATAGTACCTCATACCTGCAATTGAAGTAAACCGCTGTAAGCTTCATTATTCACCTAGCGCAGGATACCTTCTCAAAGTGAAAAGCAGAACTATTTTGAATGCTATAATTTTAGTAGTAATTTGCATAAATTAGCCATAACACTAGCATTCACTTTAGCAGTTCAGGTAAGCATCAAGATATCCAAATCTAACACTGGATGAGCAATGTTAATGTGTCCTATTGTGAGATTATGGAAAGTTTCAATTACTGCACCTAGCGTAGCTACCATAACAGATTAGCAGCTATAATTCCATTTTACACACCTCAGTTCTGAGTTTATCTCCACATATTTAGACTCAATACTTACTTGTTTATGAATTGCTCAAGAGCTTGCTTCCTTTCCTCTATAAAGGAATCATCAAATATACCATCATCTCCTCGGAAGGGGAGCTGACGAAGAAGAGCTTTTCCTGGTAAAGGCGGTACCACGACCTGAAACATTTAGAAATGTGTCCTAAGTGCAGCCTGTAAGCAAATTTATACAACTCCTGTGCCACATCTTCCTTTTAGAGGACCCAACTCATAATTCAGATCTCTAGCGAAGGAAAACAGGACTAGAGAAGAACAGTAATTGCCCATACTGATAAACTGAATTTAAGTTGATCAACTCTAATTCAGTGCCATTAAACAGCTAATAGCTGCGTTAGTCTTTCAGCAAACCTCAAACATACTTTTAGCTCTGGAAGCTTTGAACAGCAACATCAGCTTTATGATGTAGCTATATGCTTCATAAGATACAGATAACATTTCATTATCAGTTCTCCCTGTATGTACATGAAGACTTTGTTCATATTTAAGTTTACCCACCTTGCTTTCTCTTTCTAGCTCATTCCTTAGCCATTCGAAGTCACTGTATCTTCTTCTGACTGTAGATTCTTTCAATTTGAAGATAGGAAGATTTGTCTAGAAATGAAATACATCCTGATTAGATGAGAATGAAGCTTTCATAAAGAGAATCAACAAAAATGATCTTAAAGGTTAGCACTGCTTTAGCAACAACACAACAGTATTGAGAAACACTCCATACAGAAATGCTGATAAATCCCTTTGTACGTTACATAACTAAGCTATGTCTCAAACTGCTCAACTGCAGGCCTTTCATTCATACAGCATCCTGCTAGCTGGCATTTTGTCATATTGCCTAGGAGTAGATTTGCTCATCGCTTGCAATGTTTCCAATGTTGCACAGGTATCTGCTAGCCTTATTTTCTCAAAAGTTAAATTCCCAGTGTCAATATATGCACACTGGAGAGAGGTAGTCAGAATAAAAAAGCCTTCTTTATCCACTCAGGCTCTTCTTAATGTGCTCAAGGGAATGTTTCAGGTGCCAGCATACTGAATTAGCCAAGTTTCCTATGCTTTTCTGACACCTGAGGCAACAAGGTCTCCAACATCTTTAAGAACAAAGCAGGCAAGTCCTACAGTCTTCATCAAATTCATTCAGGACAGATGAAGCTGAAGATCTGTCAGCAGATCTGTCTAATCTGGATAGCTCTAAGGAAGCCTACAAAGAGGAGATGCAACACAACATTCAATGTAGCAAAACCACCTGATCTCAAACTTAAACCGAGCAGCGTTTCATGACGCAGAATTCCTAGACAAGTCAGCTCTCAACTCTAATGTCCTTGAGAAACATCAACTGCAAGTCAGGCTATAATGCTGCACACCACATTGTATTAATTTGTATATATTAATCCTGGGTTGCACATTTATCCCACTGTTATCTAAACTACACCTAAAGAGCAGACATGAAGAACACTCTTCTAATGATGTTCCCAGAAAGAAAAGCTCCAATATCTTAACGACATTTACACTTCAAATAATGATGGCAAACTGTTGATAGGGTTACAAAAAAGTTCACATAGGAGTTATGATCAGCTATAAGCAAGACCAAAGCTCCATAAATTCCATGCATAACTAGCAATAAAGACTGCTGGCAGACCACATATTCACCAGCTTTGTCTCATACATCTAGAAAGGAAGCTTTCGAGGAGTACTCAGATACTAAGATTTAACTGTGATTATACAAAGTTCTCTTCTACTGGTAGAAGCACAGAAATTACTCTCAGCTAGTACCTTAAAGTGGGATGGCTTAAACATCCCACTCAGCTTCTGGTCCCAGTTTGAGTGGATATCCCTGAACAATATCATTTGTGGGCTGTTACACGTAGCTATCAAGTGACATTTCTGGCTATTCATGATAGGTTTAACTGCCAAGCTATATTTCTGGCACCAGGCAGGCCTGTGACTGCAGGCCATTGTGCTATTGCCTGTCAATAACAAGCTTTTGGCTGGGGCAGTTCAAAAGTAATTGAGAAGTTAGTTAGGTACTTTCACATGATGCTATTTAATCCACAACTCACAGATGAAGTACAAAACAGTATTTTATAATGAAATCTCATATTGCTGAATGTTTAAAAGCATTTAGGATCTCATTCCCAGGCAATTATTGTTCATTGTACTGCTGGCTAATAATAGATCCGAATGCAGTTTTATTATGTCAGAACTCAAGGCTTTATAAACACACATCCAAATAATAACACTCTACTCAAGAGTGAATGAATCTAGGTCCCCAAAGGTGCATGAAGGAGATTCCCAGAAGTGAAGCAGTGGATTATTTTTCTCCAATTTCAGCTACTGGCTTTTTAACTAAGTTCAGCCTTGCACATTATAACATCAACTCTTTGTTAGTGTCTTGGACAGAAAGTCCTTCATAATATTTAACATCTAGGCTCTCATCTGCAGAAAATATTCCATTCTCTTATCAAATTACTTACAAGAAGGATTACAGCAGAATAATAGCAGATAAACATAAGTTCCCAGGTCTTCAGGAACTCTTTTCATGCTTATAGGCGTAAGGTCTAAAAAAGTTAATCTCTGAACAACATATCAGGCTGTAAGGTATAATGCGGGGATAGAAGGGCCAATTAAGCTCATTTTACCTCCTGCATTCCCTTGTCAACTTTTAACACACTAGTCAAGCAAGCAGGTTGGAGAAAGGAACAGTCATAAGGGTCGCCTTCCCTCCAAGGTGAATAAGCTTCCCCAGTTTTGATCATCACTGAAAACGTTCAAAGATGTATACTAAAAGGTTAGCATTATACTGATACAACTTCAAACTATATGCTAAAAGAAAACTACATCCACTGCTCTTCAATCCAGATATGAACTCAGAGCTTCTAAGATCAACTTTTAAATATCATGTTCCTTTAAGTCCAAACTGCAGCAGTTCTCCTTCCTCCAGAAATTCTACTGTTCTTTAGTTATGCAGCTGTTAAAAGGATTCAAGTCAAAAAGCAATTTGAGAATTCTCTTCTACACTGCTTAGCCTACTTACATCTTAAGCACCTATTTTTAAGTCAGGTTATATTCACACCTGAAGAACATTCCCTCTCTAATGCAGGATTGCTACCCTGTTTGAGCAGACCACTTCATCCCTCAGTAACAAGGGGTTTTCATATGCCTCCACCCGCCATGAAGAGATGGTTTGCACTAAACAAGCCAGTCAATTGCTGAAGCATGGGCAACCATTGAGCCAGAATTTTGTAGACAACTCTAAAAAAATGTCAAGAGGAACTTGAGTTCCTAATAAAACGTCAGCACCAGAGCCATGCAGTGTATTAAAAGTTATGCTCAGCTTTATAGTTCTTTGTTTAGCCACCAATGAGCCAGTGGCTATTCAGAACATTGCATTAGCTCTGTTTGCCTGCTAGAATGGGGATGAGAATAATACACAAAACTTCAAGTCAGGCCAGTTTCATTTTTATAAACTTCTCCCTCAATTTTCTGGCCTGTTTATCTGCACAGTCTGTCATGAAACTCATGACTCGGTTTGGCACAGCCTTTGGATCACAGCTCATCCAGCACAGTTATTGTAACAACTGTTTCTTCTACAGCATAATTGTCTCCTTTTTTAATCAAAACCATTTTTAACAAATTTCCAGTCTCTTTAGTAGTTTCAATGCAAATTATTAATCTGAAAGGATTGGGTGCTGTCAAATACACTAGAGAAGCAAGTCAATTACCAGAACTGCAGATAAATCATAACTCCAGGACCAATAAACCAGAACTGCAGAGGTTCTAAATGGCCCCAAATACCAAGTAGAGAAAGATACTAAGAAAAGAGATGCTGTCTAGTATCATTTCTTCATCAGAATATTCGCACACACCCATTAGGCTTTCTCTGAATACTCTAAAATTATCAATTTTATTTTGCTGTGTGAACTAACAGCCAAGTCAGTGCACTAGAATAAGGACTGTCAGAACTGTTGCCAAGTCCAACTACTTCGTTAAAAATCTAAATAACAATCAAATCCTAAGTCACTCCTGCATTCCTCCACTCAGATGCCAAGCAAGTTTCCACAATCAAGTCATCCGACTGGTGTTTCACAAACTGACAGCAGGAAGCAGCAGCTGCCTACTAATGCATTTTAGGGCAAAACCCGCATTTGCAGAGAAACTATTTCAGCTATGTTTATAACATTCAAACTACAGAGTCTAACCCCAAGCTCAGGAGAGTCACTTCAGAAGCAAATGACAATTCTAAGACTGCAGCTTGGATGACCACAGACTAGTCTTCTAGCTGCTACTATGGTTAATTCCTATGATATGTCCAGTTAGAAGGTTTTAAAATGGTGTACAGATGCAGCTGAAGAGATCTGCAGATGCAGAGTGCAAGTAAATGAGTACAAGCCAACACTATGCTTCAAATTCATACACAACAGTACTCCAGTGCAGCCATTCTGGTATAGAAACAAATTTAAATGCAGGAAGACAACTGAGGTGCTCTAATACTATCAAGTACTCTACTGAAATCATTTAAGTGTTCTATTATCCAGACTGAATCAACCCACCCAGCCAGTAAACAGCTTAGCAAATAGTCAGACTTGTCCCTAAGAATCTGTTACCAGATATAAATTCAACTAAAAAGGAGCATTTGGGCTCCTTCAAAGAGCACACTGACACTCCACAAGACTGACTCAGCACATCAGCACAGCCTGGCCCCCCCCCATGACTGCTGAACTCCACAACCATAGCTAACTAGGGCAGTTTAAGGCAGATTTGATTCATTTTCTCATATGCCAATATTGCACTAATCAGCAGCACGGCATTGCTCATGTCTCCTACTCTTAACAAACTGAGAATAAAGCAACACTGTTGCCATAGCACCTACTTTGATGTTGTCTTTTCAAGTAGGTTGTGGTAGCCTTGATACTACTCCATTTCCATTAAAATAGAATGAAACAAAGCACTCAGCTCACTTGTGATAGACGTTTGCAGCCTTGACTCTCAGAAGCTAAATTCAAGCTTCTCACCATCTCACCATACTAACCACAATCTTTGTCAGGAACCTACACTGCCAGCTATGTTTACAGGCAGCCAATAGCAGCTCCTGGGGATTACAGTAAGCAGTCCCAGGGTGGGGAAAAAGTATTACAAGTTTCTTAATGCAAGAGCCCCACCAGTCTTTATTACTAAAAACAGCTCCAGCAGCCCACTGCTATTGCAGACACCCTGTCAGTGGTTTGCTTCCTTCCAGACTAGACATAAGCAGCAACTTGCCCATCTCCTACAATTATAAAAAAACCAAAACAAAACAAAGAACAAGTACAAAAGCAAGCAGGCTCTAGACTTCAGGTCACTACAAGTTTAAACTTTTTGCTATGTACTTCACCAAACGCAAGCCTCTTTCCCTGCAGCAGAAGTGAATATCAAGACTTATTTTCATACATGCTTTCTAAAAATCAGTCATCTGATCAAAGCCAAATTCTACAGCTTTCCCTTATGTGCACTTGGCATCCAGGCCTGCTGTAGGCATCTTACACACCAAGAAGTTCGTGAAACACTGAAACAAATCTGACCATATCTGTGAGCCTGGATTTAAAACAATGCTGACTTAGCTA